CAAACTGACTGCTCCTAGGATGATTTCGAATGGGAGCCGAGTGGAAGGGTTGAAAGGGGTTCATTTGAACCAAAAATTTTGCCTCCCTTCAGCTTGAGAGCTTCGGACTGGACAAAGGTGAACGATAGTAAACCCGAAACCAGGTAATCATAAGCTATACTAAACATTACTTAGGTATTTGAACGAATGAAATCCCCTAAATCCATCGGAAGTGGAATAGGTGTCGGTTCACCACATTCTATGATAGCTTGGTAACCCGGGGAGCTGCCCGGGATGAGATTTTCAAAATAATTATTCAAAAACAATTTTAGGTCACAGGCGAACAAAAACGAACTGTAATTATGTTGAAAACAAGAACCACTCTAAAATTATGAAATTCCACGAAGATTAATGACTCGGGCGATGGCGGCGCCGGTGGCGGACGGGTCTCCAGGCGCCGGTGGGAATAGGTGGAATTGTCGGTGTAGATACGATCTGTGGATGCAACTAGAAGCTGCTCTAGCATGAATCGCAACAAAATCAGATCATAATCGTAGATTAAACCAGCCACCAAGCTAGGCGTGAGAAATTGATGGCCTTCGAGGTTTGGCTGACCGGCTGAGTCAGTCAGTCAGCCGGCAGCCGTTGTGGATGTCATTGAAGCGAGGTTAGTGCGAGCAGAGGGCAACGAAAACAAGACAAGTTCCGATGGGATGATGGGACAAGCACCATCTAATGGTATAACCAGAAAAACTGTAGCTAGCTTGTTAACCACTGGCTTATTGGGCTAATGGAAGCCATGAAGAAAGTGGTACTGGCTGAAAAACATTGTAGAACTACTTGTCTAAACTTAAACGTCCCAATTCAATTTCCCCATCCTCTTGACGATTCTAATCGCCAATTGAAGTTTTTGAGGCCAAGTGAAATACCGAAAGAGCTAGAAGGAAGCCATTAGGAGTGACAAAATTACTTCGTAATTAGATGGCTAGATGGCGTCGGGTTTTTCAGTTATTGCCGTTGATATCACCAGAAAATTGGCGACTTCAACTGCCAAAGAAAGGTATCCATTAGGCCAGGAACAGGAGATAGTTGATGTGCAACTGGAAAAAGATCACAGATTCTGGTTGAAAACCCAGGCACTGGGTGGAGCTATTCTGGAGGTAATAATTGCAGGAGTAACCCGTCGATGGATCGAAGTATAAAGGAACACCAGTACCCGATGGATCTGGGTGACCCCATGAGATACATACCCCTGCTGTTGCTGGGATGGTTCAAAGGGAAATAGTTTGTGAGTTACTGAAGCCGACAACAAAACCAAATCGATTGCCAAATGAACTGGAACATAAAGGGGAAGTTGTAGACGTCAAGAGGAATGGTTATTTCAAGAGTATAAAAAAAGGGTCGTCTGTTCCGTAGCCGCCTAATGTGTTCCGACGGTTGTGACAACGATCGATTGATATTCCTCAAATAAAATTATATATTACATCATAGGACACCCGTGGGGATCCATTAGCCTCTCCGAGCTTTTTCTCGACATTTATACAAGTCCGGGATGTGCAGGATACCTAAGGGAGAAACTTGGTTCTCTTTGGGAGCATGACAAAGAGGAAATCCTGGCTACACTAAGCCCGGGTCTTCCATTCGGAATCGTTAGCCCAAATTATTGCTCACTCGGCCATTTCGGTGGCGCCAGGGACCATCTCCAGTCCAGATTCGTCTCATTTCTTTACACACGGTCGCGGCACCGGCTATCCCGTTTATTCATCGTGAGTCTAAGGAATCTGAGGGCCTGACCGAAGATTCCTCCGAACTTCCTGGGAAGACATAGGCAGGATTACAACTTAAACCGGTTTATGAATGGTTTACACGGAATGAAGGCAAAAAGCGGAGTTGATTGTTGTTTGAACGCCAATTGACAATCGGACAATTTTAGTAGCCCAGACCTTGACAGGATTCATTAAGACACACGAAAGCTTTAGAAATCGAAGACACAGAGGCGGAGAAGGATCCATAGAATTTAAAGAACTGAAAGACAAGCTTTTTCGATCAAAATTCCACGGTTAGGATTTCTCGTTTACATTACCATTACATTGTATTTCGCTAGTGGCATACTGTAATACAATGGCTGTTCTTCAAAGGTGGTTGATCCCAAACAGCCTGTTCAGGTGAGGGGTGCCTGAGCAGGTCTTCAACGGGTTTTTAGCCGAGGAAAATCAAGATGCCGCTACATTTCCTCACGTCAAACACGTCACGATTTTCACAGCCCTAAAAACCAGAAACCTGTGGGAACGACCATTCTAGAAACTCCTAGATAGATTTATGTTCTTAGTCTGGAAGTCAAATGTCATATGTTCAATGTCTTGATAAAATCTGGGATAAAGTCTTTGGCGCTGATCAATCTCGTATTTGGGATGCGCCCGCGCATCCGACTTCCGTTCAGGATCGTAGTGGCGCATTGAATGCGCCTGTGGCTTATACAACGAATTGCGGTGGCCAGCACATATACAAGCCAGTGCTTTTATACTCCCAGATGAGTATGGGACCAATTAACCGCCCCCGTAGTGATGAAAGGCTTAGTTGCCCTGGGCGGATATCAACTTGGAATTCGATCCCGTGACCATGCGTGTGTCATAGTGCGCCACTTGCCGCTACACCACCACCGTCCCGACTATCTTGATACAGGTTCAATTTTGGATCATAATTTTGAAAAAGGTCTTCGATTTTGGCTCATAGAAGGGTCATATGGAATGGGCAAAGTGCATCTTAGAATACTAGCCCTTCTAGTCCACATTTTGAGCCCGCTAAGTCATCCCTAAAAGATGACACTTGCTTGTCATGAGGGTAGCTGGTTCGGTGAACAGAGTTACGACCAGCTATATTGACTAATATGGAACTACGTTTTGTTAATCGTTTTCTGCCTATTTATTAAACAGATGTAAATAATAAATAAAGAACGTCAGCTCAGAATTTCCTAATATTCGCAGTTATTCCAACCAATGCCGCTGAAACTGATCATACCGCTAAATGGACTTCCCCACGAGCAACTTTTTTAGCAGCTTTCCTCAACATGCTGGTTTTTGGCGTTATAAAAACTGAGCCATGCCTAAGACAACAAGGAAAATAACGGCGAAAGAATGAAAATTTTTCAGAAGCCTGCCAAAACTGTCAATCGTAGCACCGTTCTAAACATATTGTCGACCGCTCCTGCAGAACAACTAGTTTTTCGCAGTGTAAGTACAAAGTAAAGGACTAACCAGAAAGTTGTGCAGTGCTGCGATTCACAGGAGTATCCTGGCATGAAGACAAAGCTTTTTGAGAACAAAGTTTTAAGAATTCAAGCTATTCATATCATTCACGAGCTCACTCATCATCTGCAATCGCCTTCGTCTCACCGAAAATTCCTTATTGACTGCTAGAATATTGTCAACCTGGTTTTTCAACTCGGAAATGGAGCCATGGTCCTTCTTGAGTGGGAGGCTAGGGTTCTTGACGTTGACATCGATCGAGCGATCAGAGTCCATCTAACCAACGAGACTGAGCAAGTCCACCCTACGTTGTATCCTCTGATAACCCTGGAATAGACTCAATGAGGTAACCACTCGTCTAAATAAAGAAAGGTTAAAACAAACTCGCCTGTAACGATGTTTCCAAGAACGACCAGAAACCCAAGCCACAAGGGAAGACTTGAGATCTTCACATAGAACAAAATAAATCGGTCCCATCGAAACAGATCTTACAACTAGCCCACATGGAAGAGTCAAAGTGGTTTGGAATAGGGGCTTTTCAGTACCAAAGGATATCTGGATGAGACCTTAATCGTTTGCAAATGCGTAGACTTGGCTACGGTATCCCTGCAATAAAAACCTGCTTCCCACTCATTGTAGGCCTTGGGAGATGACAAGAAGACAGACAGACAAAACATCCCGTGTGATTTGAACTTTAATATTTGTGATTTATTGGGAATACATACATTGAAACACGGCGCTTCTGGGTGTGGCTGCCTACGAATGGGGCTTTGAGAGATTATTGTGCCATACCTAGGCCGTTCTACCACCTGAAAACATCCCATGTGGCATACCTGAAGGGCCAAAAACTCGTCCTTTTAGAAAGTCTAGGAAATCAATCCCAATGTAACTGTGACCTCAACCCAAACTGTAGAATGCTTCTAATTAGAGAAATGGCTCTAATCAGAATTTAAACTAAAATTGGTTAACATTTATGCGATTCTGACTCAAGACCCATGTTAAAATCAAATCACATTCCAGAACCAGATTTCCATACCATTAAAAATCCACAGTGTAAATAAGACAATAATATGATATAACGATAATGCCTGCAAAGACAATAATCGAAAAGATTAATGACCATATTTGAGCTCAACGCGATGCAAAAGGTTACCGAATCGATCGCAAAATTGATCGATATATCGATTTGAATTTCGCGTAGCGTTCGAGCTCTCCCTGGTCCAAAAATTTCCATTGTAGATGTACAATGATGAACGAGACCAACAGAAATACTACTTCACAATCGACAGACTCTAAAGCTATGGTCAGTGCAGCTAAATAACCTGTGTTCCATTCAAATAGATATGGGTACTGCTAAGATTTACAATTTACTTGTACCACCAGGAATATCACAACAAATTGTGAAAAGACAGCAGCTATAATGAAAGCATCTGAGGAATTCAGAACAAAGTTCACTTTAGGAAATGAATGGGCTTGCAGGAAAGCAATTGGGATGGGAGCGGAAAAGTAGGCAGCCTAGATAGGTAGTACGGTAGTTGGAGATTTACGTATGAAGCCGGTGCATAAACTTGACAGAAACCGTAGCCCTCGTTCACCACCAGGAACGTATGACAGCACGAACCTGAAGTATGGGCATTTGATTGATACTTCCTGGTCTGTCACCAAACCATACTTCACTCCACGTCCATAATGAACTAATTTTTCAGAAAGTCCGAGATTTTGAAGCGGAGCAATCAGCTTCAAGTTCCCGCTTTGTACCCTTCTGTCAACTTATAAGTAGAAGGGAAATAACGGATTAACACCGCTCTCCTTCAAAAACATTTTTCAGAACTTAGGACGTCGGCTGATCTCCTGTAGCTACCTCAGAAGACAGATTTTCGGTTCACTTCAACCATCTATTTCACACAAACTTTGCTTTTATTTCCAATTTTATTTTCTTGATTTTGTTGGTATGTAGCATTTATTTCAATTTTTCTGTGACCCATCGGGAATGAAATGGACTTGTTAGAACCGCCACAACATAAATCCATAATATGCCAAGTTCTGTACCAAAAGGTTTTCAGGCTTGTCAATCGCACCAGGATTGCTCTTTACCGATTCAAGATTGACCTGAGACTAAAACACCATCTTCTACCGTTATATAGACAAAAAGAATTTAAATGAGCTACGATTTTGAAAGAAAGCCGAAGACTCAATGCATTCCCAAACTGATCGCATTCCTCTGAAATTTCATCTTTATTCCCTGACCGATACCGAAAGGTGATTTCTTGCGTGCTTGCATAATTTTTGAAAAACCACCAGAGATATTCGAATATGAATGCTGCACTTCTTAACACTCTGCTATAGTTACCCGGGAGACGGGCGTTAGGAACGATTTCGAGTAATCGATTCGCCGCACGCGGCTGTCGCTGACCACTCATCCACCGTTATTCCNGATATGCGATCATTATTTTATGCATAATTCTACTATTAGTACTTTTGTTTTTGTATTTCTTACCTACTGCTGCATCCTGCTACATTCCTTCGCGCGCGACGCCCCTCTCACCGCGACGCGACCATTTCGTTCCAAATGCACCACACCCTAGTAACTCGCTATTCTGCTGTAGCCTTTTAATGAAATTTCGTTCTGTAGTTCTTGGTTACCCGGATAATCCTCAATGGAGCGATCGGCTACTATGTACTTCAACCACTGTAAAACCTGCTCAAATAATCCACTGAAAAACCTGAGTCAGGCCTGATTTTTCTGCCCTGCTACCTTATCTTTATCTACAAAGATTGTCACAGTCCTCTCGAGAGGAGCAATGTTTGAGCGGAACCCACATTCATGTGTCATCCCGACCTCTAAACATCCCGCCATCAAAATTCCGACCTCCACAAGTTGAAATGGGCGCAGAACGCAAAATTCAATTTAATACTTGGCCATATATAGCAACAAGTATAACCATATAGAACATTTTTGCAGGAGATTCCTTATTTGATTTGAAACCCATATAAACTGCGCGAAGTTTAATTTACATATTTTAATATTACTTTTCAAGAAATAAACGATATATACTGTAAGCCCACTTCCTCGAGCTTCCCTTTTCTCGTATAAACCATTATATCCTCCAAATATTAAAAGAGAACTCCGTTTAAGAAGTACATCAGTGTGCGGCCAACTATAGGATCTGTCTGCGCTTTTATGTCAGGTTTCTGAAAACATTGCTCGAAAAAGGGTTTCTGCTAGCTCATTCCTCTGTGAATGTCTCTCAAATGTACTAGAGGCATCGGACAATTCTCTCTACTTTTAGGCTGAAGTATAAAAAAAAAGGTCGAGATTCTTGTAGGAAAAGGTCGAGAATCGTTGTTAGCCTCCCTCCATGAGGGTGAGGCTAAATCTTGATTATGCCACTATATAGCCTTCCTCCTTGAGGGTGAGGCTGAATCTTGATTGTGCCACTATACTTAGTACGCCAAGAACTGGCTACCTACAGATGGTGGCGAATTGCTTCGACATTCGATAGGGTAGTCATACTGGTAAACTCCTCTTGAAAACTGAAACAACTTGATGCCAAGTCAGCCCCGGCGATTTCGCTAGAACATAATCTTAGAACTCTGAAAGCTCAACAAAGAAGGGCGCGCACCACATCCGGTTTTCAACCTCACAAAACCTACGCCACACAGGCGCAAAGTCCAGTAGGAGTGATCAGAAATCAAAGGTTAAGCTACAAAATTCAGCTAGTCCCTGCGTTGCTTTTCAACATAAGTCTTACGTGGGCGGAAGTAGTGTAGTGGTAAGTAGCGCACTACCGCACACATGTTCACATGTTCGAGTCCCGCATTGGTATCCACTCAGATAAACCGAGCTTTCCATCCATCCTGGTTCGGTTGACTGGTACAAGACACGTCCAGGAGGAGGAAATTTGTTTATGACTGGCCACAGCAAGTCATTGTATAAGCCACACACGCATTCAATACGCCACTACGATTTTGAATGGAAGTCGAATGCGGAGGCGCATCCCTCAGACAGGATTAACGCCAAAGGGCTTTATCTTTTTTCCTTCGAATGTTACGGTAAAACCTTATTGCCGCAATTATGAAGTTCTACATGATTTATTAGGCTCGCCACCTTTTTATC